TGACCATGACCATGACCATGACCATGACCATGACCATAGCCACCACCATGAGACCATGGCCTTGGCCGTCACCGTGACCATGGCCACCACCATGGCCACCACCATGACCACCACCATGAGACCATGAGACCACGGCCATGACCATGACCACGACCATGACTATGACCATGACCATGGCCATGACAATAACCATGACCGTGACCATGAGACCATGGCCTTGGCTGTCACCGTGACCATCACCATGATGACGACCATGGCCATGACCACGACAATGATCATGAGACCATGGCCATGGTCATCACCGTGACCGTGGACATGACCAAGACTATGACCATGATGATGGCCCTGGCCATGACGATGCTGGAGAGGCCACGGCCGTGCCGGTGACCCCCCCTCTGTTGTCCCCGCAGGTATGGGGCGCACGAGCGAGGAGGAGGAGGAGCAGGAGGTCCGGGTGAAGGCGGAGGGCGAGGAGCCCAGGTGGGACGAAGCCGGTGAGAAGCAGCGGCCGGAAGGACGTGGATCTGGGGAGGGACGGGGAGAAGGTCCGCGGCCGAGGAAGCCCCACGCCTGCGAGGAGTGCGGCCGCGTCTTCCCCGCTGCTCGTCCACGAGATGCTCCACCGCGGCCAGAAGCCCTACAAGTGCCTGGACTGTGGGAAGAGCTTCAGCCAGAGCTCCCACCTCCTGTCCCACCACGCGGTCCACACCCAGGAGAAGCCCTACGTCTGCCGGGACTGCGGGAAGAGCTTCCGGAAGAGCTCCGACCTGGCCAGGCACCAGACGGTCCACACGGGCCAGAAGCCCTTCAAGTGTCCCGTCTGCGGGAAGGCCTTCACCCAGAACTTCCGCTGCAATGCCCACAAGAAGGTCCACGGCGAGGGCGAGGCCAACCCCCCGGCGTCTCCACCCCAGAGCAGCCACGAGGCCGCGGGTCCACCAGGTAAACCTCGACCCACTCCAGGTCTTCCTCCAGGTCTTTCCTCCTCAACCTACTCCAGATCTTTCCTCCTTGACCTACTCCAGGTCTTCCTCCAGGTCTTTCCTCCTTGACCTCCTCCAGGTCTTTTCTCCTCAACCTACTCCAGATCTTTCCTCCTCGACCTACTCCAGGTCTTCTTCCAGGTCTTCCTCCTCAACCCGCTCCAGGTCTTTCTTCCTTGACCTACTCCAGGTCTTCCTCCAGGTCTTTCCTCCTTGACCTCCTCCAGGTCTTTGCTCCTCAGCCTACTCCAGATCTTTCCTCCTCAACCTACTCCAGATCTTTCCTCCTCAACCTGCTCCAGGTCTTCCTCCAGGTCCTTCCTCTGTCCCCCCTGGTTCGGCTCCATCCTTGAGAACTGGGCTCGGTTGGGTTGGGAAGGTCCTCTGGGGGTGTGGAGACCCCCCCCGGGTTTTCCACGCGGGGACCCCCGGTTTCCGGCGGCGGGGGCGTCACCTCTCGGCCCTGTTCTCCATCAGCAGGTGACGGTGGCCACCGAGAGGAGGGTTCCCGGCGAGGAGAACCGAACGGCTCCGGGCCGAGGTTGGAGGAGGGGGTTGGGCGGT